TTTTTTTTACAAAATTGATGCACTCATAAAATTTTAATTTGTTGTAGGCATTACGTATGCAGAGAGACGATTTTTGAAGTATATCACCTCACTCAAACTAGGTAATACAATGAGTTGTACATTATTGTGACCCTTCCGTAGAAATTGTCATTACCATGTAATTAGACGATAATTTTTTTAAGTCTAATTTAAGTAAATATCAGCCTTCTGTATAGAAATCTGGTTTAAAAACAGATTAGTAAGCCATAAACATGCTTTTTCTATGCTAATGCTTTTAATACATGAATTCTTCAGAAGTACTATTCGTAAATGTTGTCAGCTAAAATAATATTTTCCGACCAAAAATCATATTCTTCTCTAATTTAATATTATATCATATTCCAGTAATTTATATGATATTTTTCAGCAAACAATTTAATATCATCTCACCTTACATGCTTTGAAACTCGCAATTCCATAGCGAAAATGCAAAAAAAAATGTACCGCAAATGGCCTATCGATCACATGGGCGGATTTTACTACTGTGACGGATATAACACAGTTACTACAGAAATATTTCAAGAATTTTGTTGTCTTCTAAGAGCTCGGCGCAATGGGAAGCATGACCAGTTTCGGTTGACGTTAATGATCGCTGAATAGTGTTTGCTTTGATTTTTGGTGAAAGAACAGTGTACGATTGCAATTGGATTCCGACATTTTAATGAAAAACAAGTTCAGGTCGTCTTTTTTGTGCGAAAGTTTGTAAGTGATCACTATTCAAGAGAGCACTTTCCTTTCTCTTATTAGGAATTTAAGGGAGGAAGCTCCAACAAAAGTACTGGATTTGAAGGGTACAAGATGAATTCTGGCATTTGCACAATTTATTGGCGAGTATGACCTCCACTTTGTGCAGTAGCGATCTAGTACTAATAGGTGCTACAATCTCTTCAGCGACGACGCATTGTTCCGTCCTCGAAGAAAACTCCACCATCGAGGGCGCAGTACTTAGGGCAGATTCCACGCTCTCCGCCGGGCCCAGGAGGTCCGTCTGGACCGGGCAGTCCATCATTTCCAGCTGGTCCGGGCGGTCCCGGTGGACCTTGAGGTCCTTTCGGTCCAGGAGGTCCTGCAACAATATAATGCATAGCCTCAAAGATAGCACAAAAACGTTACATAGGTTTTCAAAAATGAAAACCGTACCCATTCCGTTGCCGGGTGCAGGAGGTCCCTCCGGTCCCGGTGGTCCTGGAGGCCCGGGAGGTCCTGGCGGGCCAGGAGGTCCTTCTATTATCTGTCCTTCTGCAGATTCTCCGGGTGGCCCTGGAGGTCCCATTGGTCCCATATTTCCTGGAGGGCCTTGCGGACCTTTTGGTCCATCGGGACCTGGAGGTCCGGCACCAGCCCCATTTCCG